CATATGGTCACCGAGCTCGACATATTTAAATGTCTTGATTTTGATTAGGGCGGATACTGTACTATCGAGGCTAGCAAGTCCAGAGTTTTTCTGCTTTATATTTATTCAATTTCCTTTACAGAGTTAGTGCAACATTTCAAAAATTGTTATCGTGTTCTTTGTTATTTTATTTTGTAACCAAAACATATTTCGATGGTACAGAAAAAAATCTGCCTTTCTTAAACTGAGAAATAATACTGAATGTATTGAACATAAACAATAAGGATGTAATTAAATTCAATTTAATTTTGTATTCTGGCAAAGAATTAAATGTAAAATATAAGCCAATAGTAAAAAACAGTAAGTCAGACTTTGTTGGTTCAAATGTATCTACCTTGAATTTGACCTTTCAACCCAAAATGTTAAGTTGAAGGGCAAATAACTCGAAGACGAGCTTGTTGACTCTTATTTAGGCGGTATTTGTTAAAACAAAACAAAGTTTAAATGAATGTTCCATTATGCTGTTTTCATTCTGCGCTTTGTCCTTCCGCTATATCAATGAAAACATTTCATTAAGACTAATAAACACTTGCTGATAGGAAAAGAATATTATACCTCCTCGCCGGTACTATCTTTGTAAATATCATGAGCGCGTCCATGAAGAAATTTCGTTTCTGGCATTCTTGTCTCGTACGGATTAGGCTTGGCACGAGGTTCAAAGCGGTTTTGGAAACCATTTGAAGAATGAGACTCACTCAGTCTGTGTAACCGGATGTCTTCTATGCTTACCTCCCTTGATAAGTCCAATTTCTGATCACTGAAAAAAATTATAAAAATGAAATGTTTTGGAGTTTATGTTTCAAATGTAATGTTACTTTAATTTTAAAATTTGAATTTCATAGTTGCACACTATAAATCCATATCAAGCAAGTTCGAACTTAAGTACCTCAAACAAATGATTACTCGTTATCAAAGAAGTTTCAAATTTTCGAAGTGGTTTTTGTAAGAATTTCATCATCTTAGACAAATCATATTCAAATTTAAGATAGTTTAATATAGTAATACAGAGACTGTGTAAGAGCAAATGGAATTTTTTTTTGGCATACGGAGTTAACATGGTCCTTAAGAACCATCATTTTTAAGATGTTGTCGAGTGACTTATTGTATGTACGAATAAACGTTACCTTTCTTTTCCCTTCCTTGTTTTCTTCATTAAGAGAACAATAATCACCACCAGAAGAATGACAACAACTCCCCCGCCACATCCAGCAGCCAAACCAATGATGTCGTTTTTATGTAAGGCAAACTTCTCAGCCTTTTGTATGCAGCTAGGACCATAATATATGTAATCGTTATCCTTTGTGCATCTGGAATTGATATTCATTAGTTACTTTTATATACACAGGCTCAATCTGGCACGTATGTTCGAAATACTTCTCTATGCTTCTCTAAGCAAACATTGATAATAAATCTTAAAGGATTACTTATTCTTAAACGTTCATCTTAAGCATAACTTATGTATACACTTACAAAAGTCAAATGTCATGCTATATTACATGTGTATTGTCAGCAAAGTTTCCATATACGTGTTAGGTTATAATTCTTAATTCACAGATTCTTCTTTAAACCCACATACAATGGAGAATAGGGGTCCTGTATAACATTTTTTCATAAAACGATGATAGAATAGACGTAGATAAAATAGATAAAATTGACGATGACTAATAAATCCGTCGATAAAAAAGACGACAATAAAAAGACTATGATAGATAAAGACGTCGACTTCTCTTAATTAGACGATGACAAAGAGGATGATTATAAAAACACGATGATAAATAGGACGTTGATACATTAGCAATGATAAATAGGATGATTATAAATAAGACACTGTAAAAAGTAGATAATGATAAAAATACCTTGTCTTGATTGAATTGGGAAAAAAAATTCTAGAAACACCAACGTATAATTAAAAAAATAATTATGTACTCTTGTAAAACAAAACAGCCCATGTGTGTGCCATCGAAAACGATTTCATTTTGATGATTTAAGCTTTAACCATCAAAAAATTATTCTTAAAATTAAATAATTAATTGTCATGATTAATTAATTTATATCATTAATTGATTAATCAACTATTTTGATGATTTATTCATAAATTAAAAACGAATAAGAGATAAAATGCCAGACAATTGTCTCTAAAATTAGATGGTAATGATCGAATAAAAAATTGCCTGTGTTGTTACTTACTTGCACTCCATAGACTTCTTTCTGGCATCATAAAAACACGAACCGCCGTTATGGCATACATTTTCCCCAGAGTAGCATTTATGAGTGCAACGTATTTTGTAGGGAGTACTCAGTGAACAATCTTCGAATGTTTCACATGCTCTGTCAATCAAGTTACAAATGTTTTCGTCTCGATATTTTTTTATAACTGTCAATATACAGACACACACATCACATGCAAATATAGCTATAATATATCCGTTTGCTCTAGTGTACATGTACAAAATAATAGTTTGAATTTTGAAAAAGAAAAATGATTATGATTAAAAAGAAAAGAAGAAGACAATTTTATAGACATAAACTCTATAAATTTGAGTTATAATACGACATATTTATTGTACAACTGTTTCATGTAAATGAACCAAGTTCACATCCGACTAGTTTTATTAATCATCAAACATCACCAAACATCACCAAACCATGGCTGCATAATATTGTGTTCAGCTACAGTTTATGTAGTACGAGTATATTCATGTGTTTTAAAATAGCATATTTAAGATAATTTGCAAGTAAAAAAAGAAAGTAATTTACATATTGCAAACGGCACGTTCAATCCAAGTAAATTACAAAATGAATAACAAAATATGCAAAAATAGCCGTTTATGCGTCAGTCATGTAGTAGAAGTATTCTTTTTAATATTCAAGAATATCTTAGTACATGTAGCGAAAGTTAGTTTTTCTTTAAATGTTTCGACTCATCTGGAGACATGCGGCTTTATTATCAGAGATATTCAATTGTACACGTGCAACTTTTTCGTGAATTGAATAGAAGTGCGAAATAAATAAATGTTTACAAAACAGATTTATATCTATACGAAAACAATAATCTTAAACAATCTTCTATTATTCGGCTGCAAAGCCAGCAGCCGAGTCTTATATGATTTTGAATAAGATGAATGATTTACTGCGGAATAACAAGATTTATTTCGCGAGTCGTCAATAAAAACACAACTACATGAAAATATTCACATACATCAGCTTTATACTTCATGAGCAATCTTAAATCTATGGCTTTGTTGCAAAACAATAATTATTTATTTACATTTTCTCAAATGGAAAGAAAATGTTTTCTTATCTCCGTGTACAAATAATGTACTGTGCAATTGTTTGTAGTTTACCGAGATGTAATTTAGTGAAACCAGCAGAAATTTATTTATACGTTGTCTCCACCTGAAGGGGAACTGTTTAAATGTATGTAGTGTACAGCCTGACCATTCTTTCGCAGCCATTTAACGCATTCGTGAAACCTCGCTTGTTTATATTGTAATGATGCATATAAAAGTTGCACAGTTGTGTACAGTTAAATGTTATTGATTTCACAGTCATGATCGATAGCAGGCTATTTAACTGATATGTGTTATCATTGGTTTACAGTTTTTAAATAGATATTACAGCAAAATATCATACAAATGAAATGTGCGTTTTGGCTTGCCATATTTTCTATTTTCAATTTCCAGATGAAAATATGAATAACTGTTTTCGTATTTACCGTTTTGAATGCTGCGATTAACAATTGCTTCATCTACATATATTCCAAAGGGTTTATCGTCTATGTTCAAACTTGAGTTAGTAAAGTTCAAAGTTGCATTAGCTATTCTGCCACCAATATCAGTTATATTCGAGTCAGCATTTACAACAACAGTGTAATTACAAACAACACTTCCTTTGCTGAAAAAAACCACAAAAAATACAAACAAAAAAGCGCAAAAATAGTTAACAAAGAGTCTTTCTTAAAATCAAAACAAAACTTCCAATACTTCAATGCAGATAAATACAGTATGTGCTTATTGTGATTTCATTATTCCAAAAACATCAAAACATCTATTTTGTAAGTTTCTGCTGTCCTTTTTTGCACGTTGCATAAAAGCGATTTTTCACTAAAAATAGTTAAACACATTTTAATCTCATTTTGTTCTATTTAACAACGGCTGTTGTACAAAAACAAATTCATTTAAATATACTCGTACATGCATAATATTGAAATTATTTATCCATGTAATATCCATGTAACTTCCTTTTAGTAGAATGGCATTTCGATTTGAAAATAGTGAAGCATTTTAACATATCAAACAAAAGTCTAAGTTGTAGACTTTATCAAATGAAAATATCATACCTGAAGTCATTTATAACTACATGGTCAAAACCTGTAATATTTATATATTTCTCATTCAGCTGAAATGTATTAGAATATCGTAATAATAAGATTAAGAAATTATGGAGGCACAACATACCATTTTTTTCAATATCAATGCGGAACATTAAAACATATAAACGTTATCAACAAACACAAGTGCATGTTCATATGTCAAATATTCATCATTTGAATATTGTACAATTCAATACAAAATAAACCTTGTCAATGAATTTGCATGGTTAATCTACAATGTTCAAGATAAGTTATTTAACATTAACATATTAAATCCAAATCAAAAATCCAATTTAAGAGATAAGTGGTTTAGATTGCGAATGCATATAGAGATAGCTTACCTTAGTCCTGAAAGAACGTTTATAGGAAATATATATTTCTGACGATTTATCTTTTAATGACTCATTATATGTTGCATTTGATAAGCTGATTTGCAAGTCAATGTTAATTCTCAGAGAACCTGAAAATGTAATTAAAGTGTATAAGACAACAATGGAACGTCTGTAATAAAGAATATTGATAATATGGTTTTATTCAGAATTCAAAAATTATTACACATGTATTTTGTTAGAAGGTATTTGTAGACAATATGACTGAAATGAGTTAGTTTTAGAAATAAGTAAAAAATTATTAATAAACTTATTATTTCCGCCTTTTCCAAATGAAGTACATCAATTAAAGCAATGGCGAAATTCTCAAAAACATTCTAATTTCTCAAAAACATTCTAATATCCCAGCAGTCAAATATGAAACATTTACTCACCTATATCTTTTGTTTCACCAGGATATTTAGTGGTTGTGTCTGGTTGTTTTGTTGAAGTTGCTATCGAATGTGATGAGTCTGATGAACTAATTGTCGTATCTTTCGAATCTGTTTTTGTTATTTCGGGCCCTGGTGCTGGTGTAGCTGCTTTTGTAGGTGTTGTTGCTGTTGTTGTTGACGCGGTTGTTATTGTCGCTGGCCCAGGTGCTGGCGTAGCTGCTTTTGATGGTGTTGTTGCTGTCGTTGTTGATGCGGTTGTTATTGTCGCTGGCCCAGGTGCTGGTGTAAGCTGCTTTTGATGGTGTTGCTGCTGTTGTTGTTGATGCGGTTGTTATTGTCGATGGCCCTTGTGCTTGTGTAGCTGCTTTTGTAGGTGTTGTTGCTGTTGTTGTTGATGCGGTTGTTATTGTCGCTGGCCCTTGTGCTGGTGTAGCTGCTTTTGTAGGTGATGTTGCTGTTGTTGTTGATGCGGTTGTTATTGTCGCTGGCCCTGGTGCTGGTGTAGCTGCTTTTGTAGGTGTTGTTGCTGTTGTTGTTGTTGCGGTTGTTATTGTCGCTGGCCCTGGTACTGTTGTAGCTGCTTTTGTAGGTGTTGTTGTTGTTGTTGTTATTGTCGCTGGCTCTGGTACTGATGAAGCTGCTTTTGTAGGTGTTGTTGCTGTTGTTGTAGTTGCGGTTGTTATTGTCGCTGGCCCTGGTACTGTTGTAGCTGCTTTTGTAGGTGTTGTTGTTGTTGTTATTGTCGCTGGCTCTGGTACTGATGAAGCTGCTTTTGTAGGTGTTGTTGCTGTTGTTGTTGATGCGGTTGTTATTGTCGCTGGCCCTTGTGCTGGTGTAGCCGCTTTTGTAGGTGATGTTACTGTTGTTGTTGATGCGGTTGTTATTGTCGCTGGCCCTGGTGCTGGTGTAGCTGCTTTTGTAGGTGATGTTGCTGTTGTTGTTGATGCGGTTGTTCTTGTCGCTGGCCCTGGTGCTGGTGTAGCTGCTTTTGTAGGTGATGTTGCTGTTGTTGTTGATGCGGTTGTTCTTGTCGCTGGCCCTGGTGCTGGTGTAGCTGCTTTTGTAGGTGATGTTGCTGTTGTTGTTGATGCGGTTGTTATTGTCGCTGGTCCTTGTGCTGGTGTAGCTGCTTTTGTGGGTGATGTTACTGTTGTTGTTGATGCGGTTGTTATTGTCGCTGGCCTGGTGCTGGTGTAGCTGCTTTTGTAGGTGTTGTTGCTGTTGTTGTTGATGCGGTTGTTATTGTCGCTGGCCCTGGTGCTGGTGTAGCCGCTTTTGTAGGTGATGTTACTGTTGTTGTTGATGCGGTTGTTATTGTTGCTGGCCCTGGTACTGTTGTAGCTCCTTTTGTAGGTGTTGTTGCTGTTGTTGTTGATGCGGTTGTTATTGTCGCTGGCCCTGGTACTGTTGTAGCTCCTTTTGTAGGTGTTGTTGCTGTTGTTGTTGATGCGGTTGTTATTGTTGCTGGCCCTGGTACTGTTGTAGCTCCTTTTGTAGGTGTTGTTGCTGTTGTTGTTGATGCGGTTGTTATTGTTGCTGGCCCTGGTACTGTTGTAGCTCCTTTTGTAGGTGTTGTTGCTGTTGTTGTTGATGCGGTTGTTATTGTCGCTGGCCCTTGTGCTGGTGTAGCTGCTTTTGTAGGTGTTGTTGCAGAACCACTTATCATTCTATTTACAAGTACAGTAACTGTAGAATCCACAAAAAATATTTTACTAAATGGTGTATTCAATATTAACCACATACAAAAAACAACAGCAAAAAAATATTAATTTGTTATAACACAATTTCATTTACTGGTTGATAAAGTCATAATTATGTAAAATACGTGGGTAATATTGAATTATTCTAGTACTGTAATAGTTAGATGGACCAATCACTTTTTGAAAATATGTTTATATACTTAACATGCTTAAAGAATAACAGCATACGTTTTTATCAACAGCTTTTAAATCTTGATACATATAATTACTTAAATTACTTAAATTACCATATAAACTTTACTTCCATTTGATGTAATATCACAATATTTTCGTTAAGAAGAACATTATCAATAACTAACTAAAATTTTAATAAATCTGTTGATAAATACAATATTCGAATAGACATTGAATAAAAATGATTTCAACCTAAAAAATGCATATTTCAGCATCAGATAATTAAATTAATCAAATATCTTTTGGTGTTTTTCTTCAGAAACTTACCAAAAAATAACACTGAATACCTCATGTTTGCAGTTACGTAACTGAAAAATAAAAGAACATAGAATTATAATAGAAAAACATGTTAATGCAATGTACATTTTCGAGAACTAGTAGAGATAAAGCCTAATGGTCGGCACAGGCCTGGCGCAAAAAGCGACACGAGAGGGACAGCGAATACTGTGTGACTGGTGCTTGAAACTGCGGCTTTAATTTCTGCTTAAGCCGGTGCTAGTTGACGTTGACGGTAGTTTACACTTGACCTAAATCAAACCGAGCCGGCGACATTTTCATTTTTGCCGTTTTAGACATTCTTTAGGGATTCTTATTTTCTCTTTTTTATAATGTTCGTGGTTGGACTATGAACAGTTATTGGTTGGCATTATTGACCTGATACTCATTAATTTTCGTAAGCCTTTTTGTTAGTTTCTGTAATTAATTTACTACGATTTACTAATCGATTTTTATTAATAGGAATATTCATGATACTTTATGTTATATAAACGTCCGGATGGCCCAGTGGTAGGTATGGTAACAAAGAAGTTGTTAGTACGAATCTACATCAAATAATTATTTTCAGATTTCTTTAATTATATGTTTATGATGTGCAGCATTAGTGGATGAATCATTTCTTTAACCTAATATGTCTTTTCTTTAAAAAAAATCATAAATTTGATATGTAGATCCATATGTACAATGGATGGTTGGTATGCTCAAAAACTTAGTGGTCACGTTCAAATATGATAATAATAAAAAAAAAACATTAAAAAGTGTTACAATAAGATTCAAAATTACGTCCTTCAATTTGAAATTAAAAGTCTTAACCCCTTATCACAGAGGGTAGTAAGGCAAGTGTTGTGTTGGCAACTTTAATTTTTTCATAAACCATGTATACTGTTATTCAATACTTTAAAACTTCGAAATCCGACAATTACCGACAAAAGGTCCGTCTGAGTTCAATATTGCCAAAGAATACTCATATTATTATCTTAAACATCAATGTTGACGTTTAAAATGTGATTTTGATGTTTTGAAAGTTGCAGAAACTTGTCATTTACATTAGAATTTTTCAGAAATATGTGTTACCATGGATATTAGTGCTGCAAATCACATCGGATTACTAGCCTATTTTGAGGGGTAAGTGGTCTATGTCAGCCAACACCAAAATTCATACACCAAAATGATCGTTAGGGTCTGTAGTTTCTGGAATAAATATTCATATTGCTCATACCCGATGCGAAGCTTTGAAATCCAAGATGGCCGCCAAGATGGCCGCCGAAATACTTGATATCAAGTAGTTATATAAAATTATGTAAACCAATTTCTTTTTAAATATCTGATTTTCAAATACGCATATTTTACATAACTTTCATAAAAAGTATTGTCTTAGGATAAGTGTAAGTTTTATTGCTAATTATTTCATTTCAATCGCTTTAATACACTAAAATAAGTAAAATTATGCAAAAATTCCCAGAAATTGAAAGTATTTTAGTTTATTTTCTTTTATAAAAAAAGTGTTTGTACTTTTAAAGCATAGCATTCAACTTAGCATGGAAAGAATCCATTTACCATATCCCGTATGGGAGGAAGAACTTGAATAAATGTATTGTTACGATATACAAAAGCGAAAATGTTGGTGGGGTAATGTCAAACAATCTCACTAGTTCACGCTGTTGTGCTGATGCCTTATTCTTAATCTGTGTGAATATCTTGTGATATTCTACAGTGTATGAAAGATAAGTATTTATTATCTGTACACATCAAGTATATTTATTTATTTATCTATCTATTTATTTATTTGTTTATTGGGGGTGGCAGAGGATGTGCATGGTATTTTTTTCTCCTTCCATGTTTTAAAAGAAAAAAAAAGATTTTTATATGCTTTAAAGTCCATATTATCTGTTTCCATAAAGAAACAGCATGTTTTTTAATTCATACTTTTTGATTGAATGTTGAAAAATATACTTCAAGTGAAATATAAACCAAATATTAGCAATATCTTTAGCTGATATGTTTTAGATTAAGCTTCATATTCACAAGCTACAGATCATTACACACATCATCTAACCTACTCCATTTGAATGATATAATAATCTTATATAAATAACTAAGAACATGCAGTAAATCAACTTTAATTTTCATGAGAAACATCTAGCACACTGCTAGGCAAGTAAACTTCATATATTTTGAGACTATAGATACTTTAAACATAAATATCAATTAATAGGTTCAATATCAATATGTAGAATTAAATATTGTAAGCCAACAAAGAAATAGTATAGAAATAAAAACTAAGGTAATTATCCCGAATTTCACCAGACATAAAACATACAAACTTGATATGTAATATATTTCAGTTGAGTAAAAGTGCATATGTTAAACCTTAAAATAACAATACATTATCAGGTTTCGTTGCAAAATTAGACAAATTGCAACTATCATAACAAGAATTATTATTCACCAAATCATATATTCCAAATAAATGGAATAAGGTGCTAAGTAGTGCTTTTAAGTGTGCATATTTTTATAATCTAAGTGCCATTTTGTCTTTTTTTGTAAATTTTGCAACTCCCTTTAAATTGAATGCATATACTTATCTGTAAATGGCTTACTTTATTTTAACAAATCATAGAGAATGAATTTGGGAACTGAGAACTCTATTCTTCGTCAGAACTACTTGCAACATCATCAAAAGGAGATCCCAGTGTATATATGTTCAGGCACATGATATCATCTGATTGAACGTTTCCTGTGCAACGACATGCCATTGTGCAAAGTTGTTGGTTTTCAAAGCAAACGCACGATTCGTCACAATTTTCACAGGAACACACAAACTCATTCAAAAGCTATAGTGCTGCCGCAGCCTCATCATTTTAGGCTTTAAATGTCCATCACCATTTATTTTATAGCCAAACTCAGTATATGGAGGCAACTCATGTTGTGCTGTAGTGGCATGTTTTTATATCCATAATTGAATCAAACATCTTTGCAGATGAAGACTTAAGCTGTCCATGGTCGGAGGAATGTTTCTTGGATGGGTAGAACTCTTAGCTTTAGTGCATCTTAATTCGTGTAGAGTTGTTTGTAGTTCATTTCCCCCATAAAGGCTTATTACAAACATTGTACAAGCACAATTTTGACTATCTGTAAGGAGTAGCTCATCCCCCATATTACTAAGTGCTTGATACTGTCCTGCTTTGTCAATAAGCATATTAAAAATCTTTCGCTTGCCTTTACCGAAAAATCCGCTTGTTGTATCACATCCTGTAATGCAATACAAAGGCAGAAGGATGCTTAATTGTTCTTCTATGAGTTGTTTAGCAATTTGATGAATTGGGATGAATCGTCTGCAGTCTGTATGTACAGTTACTTTTCCCGTAGCCATATACAAATGTGCCACACCTAAGTGTCTGAAATGATGTAACAATAATACCAATACATGTGTATCAGGGGAATGGACTGCAATACATGTAGAACCATGGTCTGCATGGAGGAAGCAGACACCATAATGATTCTTCATGCACAATATCACTGAACATGCTTAACGGGATGGTTGTATTTTCAAATGCAAAAACACGTTGAGGAGGAACTTTTTTGTATGCATTTATTGCCAATAAACGTTGAAACATTGCTGCCCCGTTAATGGTTTCTGCTTTTCGTTGTTTTCGTGTGTTTTGTACAGTTTTGTTTGTCATTGTTTTTATTTTACTTCTTTTCATGCTGGTAAAAAAAATTTTCTTTGGTGGATCTGAACCATCGCATTTTGCAATTAGTCTTTCAGATACAAAAGATTCAAGCATTTCATAACCCTTTTCTAAGCATTGAGACATTGAATCCTCTACATCCTTATTAGCAAACACTCCTGTAGCAAAATTAACAAGCTTCTTAGGTGCATTGGTAAGATCAAATGGATCAATATAACGGCTTGTAAATAGGTTTGTCATCTCCAAAACTGTTCTCTTTTTGATTTTGTATCAGTATGATGCATTATGTTGTCAT